ACAACAACAACAATCTTTCCAATACAACATACAAGAAAGAGAAACATTTACTAAAATCCATCATTTTCCAACGGATCCATTTCAAGTAGTTAGTAAAAATATCAAAAATTGGCCCAATTACTTTGAATAGCTAGATAACTATTTTGAATGTCCAAACAAGGAAAAACGTCTTCAGGATTCCACACAATATCATTGTGCTATTAATACATAAATCACAATGCTATCTGAAAAATAAAAACACAAATAAGAGAAAAGATTCTGGAAACCTGGGTCAAATAGAAGGTTGAGCAATCTACTTTCATAGTGATACTGCCTCGGAAACCCAAGGAGGGGTTACTATGAGTTGGATCTGACTGGATGGCAGTGAGTTCAGTGAGGGCCAAAACTGATGTTAAAAAATGTTATAATCTGACATTCAAAAAGAAATGTACATATATACACAGGATGAACTAACTCTACAAGTCAAGTCATTTAACATGAACTAAGCTATTTCTACTAATAACTATCTGTTAGGCTAGTTAAGTCATTTTACTCTGCCAAGTTTTAAAGCTGAAGAATATGGAACTGACCTTCACATACACTATTTTTATATGATCTCTTCTTAAAAAAAAAAGGATACTGTATATATCTTCATTTTCCACATAATTCAGAATGTGGTATTCTACACAATTATCAACCCATGACAGAAATAAATGCAACATTTAAGATGACAACTAAGATTTTTCTGCTACAAAATTCTATGATGCTTTCATAATGTGAATTATACTTCTTCAAATAAACATTTTCTGTCTCCTTCAAATAAAGAAAACTCCAATAAAATGTACCTCAATACGTATAAACTCAATACGTAAAAATCTACTACACTTCCTCTGCATTTTTTCAAACTATGTTTAGCATAACAAATAGCTGTGAACTCTCTAACTTAAAATACATTTGATTTTCTTGAGGAAAATTAAGTTAAACAGTTTGATTCTTCTCGTTATGGCAATCACTAAATGGCATGTAACATTATACCATCAACTGTGAATCCCAGAAAAGGAAATCAACTTAAACCATAGGCAGGCAGCCTTGTCTGTATCATTTAATATGTTTCTGAGTAACTGGAAATCATAAACTGTACTATAAACTTAAGGAGCCCTGGTGGTGTAGTGCGTTAAGTGTTCAGCTACTAACCTAAAGGTCAGTGGTTCAAATCCACCAACTGCTCCACAGGAGAAAGATGTGGCGGTCTGCTTCCATAAAGATTATAAGTCAGACAGTACTAATCAGTCTTACAAGGTCTGTATGAGTCAGAATTGACTTGATAACGAGTTTCGGGTTTACTATAAACTAAGTGGTAATATCTTCATTTTAGATTAAGTACATAGAAGAAACCCATGAATCAGATAGTAATGAGAAAGATAATGCTTAGAATGTGTTGATGCCTGGAGAAGGATAAAACCCTAAACAGACACAATATCCATACCTTAATTTTCCAAAGAAGAATCCTTGAACTTCATCAATAGGATCATTTTCACCTATCACTGTGGCATTTACTTCAGTTCCTATAAAACCACAAGAAATACATTTCTAATTGCTTAAATTAAAATAAAAAGGTTACTAACATCATGAAATTTTAAAAGTGTAAAAAATAATTTTAATGTAATTATGATATGTAATTTATTCAGTACCACAATTAATATTTTGCAGTAGCTTTTTAAACAGAATGAATGTTCGAACATTTCCTGTTTTTCTGGATAAAGAATGCATTTGTCCCTTAAATTTTAGAGAATTTCACATTAAAAATTTCAAAATTAGTAGCTTTCAAAATTATGAAACAAGGATTTTTCAGAAGAATTTTCAATTATGCAATTTAATCCTAAATATACTGACAGAAAAAGAATGAACTAGATAAACTTTCATTAACTTTATTACTCAAACTGATAATTTTTATCTTTTTAAGGAAGAAATAAAAAGACTACATATAAAACTTATGATTGAAATAATTGAGCCAAAACTCTCGAGAATTAAACAGGAAGCATCCACATTAAATTATTCAAATGAAGAAAATAATAGAGAACACAAATTTTTTCATTAATTATATACAGGATAGGTTACAGTTTCACACTGGAGTCACAAATTAATGGCTATTTGTGAACTACATAAGAACAACAATAAGTTACTACCTGAACTTTCTGTGCCAGAAACTGTACTCAGTTCTTTATGTATCTTATTTATTCCCTACAAAGACTTTGAGAAGCACCATTATCTTAATTACAGAAATCAAAATTAGGACCTAGAGAACAAGGTTCCTCAACTCGATTGCAACAAAACCAGGATTCAAGCACAGGTTGATCATACTCCTAAATCTATTCTTTTTCATTATGATAATGGATTTTCACTTAACTCATATTTAAAGGAAAACATGCACACATACACACACACACACACACACAGAGATGTTATTTTTTTTAAATTCACCTTTCACCTGAGTATCATCCTTGGCCTTGTACTCAGTGCTCTTAATGGCCAACTCCACACCATAGCCAGAGAGGTAAACAGGCTTCTTCCCAGGGTTCTGTAAGCAGAGCAATGTTTTACCATTACTATATCACTCCTGTTAGCTCTGGTAGCGTAGTGCCTACGGGACTTGACTGCTAACCAGAAGGCTGGTGGTTCAAACCCGCCAGCCACTCCTCAGAAGGAAGATGGGGCAATCTACTTCTGTAGTGATACTCCCCGTAAAACCCAAGGAGGGGTCACAACAACAACAACCACCTATCACTCCTTACATGGCATAGTATAGATATTTTAATGTTACATCTACTAACCAGCCTCTGGAATTACTGACTCAAAAAGCTTTTGCTGTTGTGGTTATGTGCAGTCGAGTCGGACCCAACTCATTGTGATCCCTCCTTGGGTTTCAGAAGCAGTATCACTACGGAAGTAGACTGCTCCATCTTCCTTCCGATGAGTGCTTTTAAACAATGCAAAAACTTAGAACATTTTTTTTAAAAGACATTAACCATGTGGCAAAGATAATTCACCAAAAAGAATTTTTTTAGTTCCAAATAACTTATCAAGCTGCTCACAATGAAATATACTTTCCTAGCATTTAAATAGTGATTTTATAGGGGAAAAGTATCAATTCACAATTTATGTGTTATTCTCCCTATAAAACGCTAGCCGTGATTACTAGGATGACAATGACCAAATAAACAGTAAATAACCAATGTTAGTAGGGTTGTGGGCAGATTGGAACCCTTATACATTGCTGGTGGTCATGTAAAATGATACAACCATTACTGGAAACAGTATGGCTAGTAATGAAATTATTAAAATACAGAATTAACACATAACCCAGCTATTCCACTCCTAAGTCTATTCCTAAGGACCTAAAAGCAGCAATATGAACAAACTTAGGTACAGGTATGTTCACTGCAGCAAATAGGTAGCAACAATCCAACAATCCCATCAACAGATGAATGGATAAATAAAATGTGGTACATATACAAAATGCAATACTACTTAGCTGTGAAGAGAAGTGAAGTCCTAATGCATGCTACAATATGGAAGAACTTTATGGAACAGTATGGAAGACATTATCATGAATGAAATAAGTCAATCACAAAAAGACAGTTACTGAAGATTTCACTTATATAATATGGCAAGAACAGCAAAAGTATAGAGACAATGATTAACTGTGATTACCAGGGGTGGGGTTGGAAGGGGCCACTCTTTGGGAAATAGTACATTTTTGTTTATGGTGATGGAAAAATTGGCATTTATTAAAGGTAATGGTTACACAACTTGACTAACACAACTGTATCACTAAGCTGTATACCATCAAAAAGTCAAATTGTCAACTGTTGTATTATACAAAATTGTACAACAAAATTTAAAAAAAAAGGAGGGGGGGAGGCGGGGCAAGATGACGGACTAGGCAGAAGGATTGCACAGACCCTCTTCAACAAAGAAAAGGGAAACCAATTAACACAGATACAGAAGATAATCTTGGACCACTGACCCTTGAAGGAAAGGATGCAGATTTGGACTAAACCCCAACTAGCAGAAGAATTTG